GCCTATTTTTAGAACACAGATCAAGACATTATTGAGGAATGAAATGCTTAAATAAAATAAAAGTAGGGTTTTAGGGGACCGTGGGGGGAAGAGGGAGGAGGGTGTCCAACTATCGGAGAGTTGATCCTTTTTAACCGCCTTAAGTGAGAAAGAAGTAGCCTACGGGTTAAATTAGGAGTCTTGAATCTTTCTGACTGTCTTGTATAATAAAGAGTGGCAGTCCGAAGTAACCTTCTGTTTAATTTGATTCGCCTAGTAGTTTACTTTTCCACCCAATATCTAAACTTCTAATCTTCTCATCCTATATATTCAGCTTTCAATAATAATGTCAATTTTCATTAAAGAGTCAGTTTTCATTAATGTCAATTTCAAATTTTGGGGACAAAATTTTTTTTTAAGGTGGGTAGATTGTAACAACCCATCCCAAATTTTATGACTTTATAAATCCTAAAAGAGTGATTTGATGAAAATGCCCTTAGAGGCAAGGATTTCGACTTCTGTTGACCATCGTTTAGAGTGATGTGTGACGCATTCTTTTAGCGTAATTGCGTAGTACGCGACAATATGAACATGGGGACATAAGCGAAATCAAATTTGGAGTTACAATGGAAATTTTACAAATTTACAACGTGAAGGGTGATTTGGTAAATTCATGTTTAGAGATATTTTGTGGGTTGTTTTGTGAGCCACGCAGGCCTACACCTATCCCGTGTCCATTCTTTCTTCCTAACACTTTTTTTTTATTTTTCAAACTTTTGGACCATTCTCTTGCTACCATGTGTCCCTTTCCTCCACATATTCCCCGAGCTCCCTTTCTTCACTCACCTCTCTTGTGCTGCCACGACATCCCATTTCCCTCTAACCCTCTCAGTTCTCTCCTCCCCTCTCTCTCATTTCTCTATTTTGCATAGACCATCAAAACGCAACCACTCACCCATTCTGGCGAGACCCCTTATCACAGAATCACCATCGCCGACAATCATGACATTCTCCCATTCTTTCATCATCTCTCTCTACTTCGGCTGGCATGGAGATGCAACAGTGCATCACCATCTACGAAGCTAATTCCAGCGAGTTTCAGTTTTCCGACCAAGGGTAAGTCTGGGGAGCCTTCAACCTCAAATCTTATTGTTTTTGGGACTTCTGATAAGGTCTTTAACCTTCACAATGAAATTTGGCAGAGTTGATGCAGAAAAACATCTCGGGGGAAATTTTCCCAGAAATTTTGGAAGCTTGAACAGTGGTCGTTAGGCCACTTTCAGAGGATTTTTCCTGCCAACTCCGACCGTATCTTGGCCTCGATCTGGTATAGGTCTATTCCATACATTTCCTACTTCATTATGGTTTTTTAATCATCAAGTTTGGTTAAGAAATGAGCTCGTTTGGAGCTTTGGAAGTCAGACCAAAAACCTGCAAAATGCAAGCCATTTTGAGGAAGGCGAGTACAGTCGTACTTGCAGGCGTGTGGGTGCACGTAAGGGAGCCACTACGAGTGGTGCGTGCTGCGCGTGGCTGCCATTGCAGCCACCGTGTGGCGTGGCATGGAGGAACCTGAGGTCCCTCCTTTGGTTTCTCAACGTGTCGAACTCGAATCAGCCGTTCGTTTTCCAAAATTTGATCATTTAAAAATAGTTGATTTATTAGCCGTACTTCATACAAAAATGCATTTTTACATTAGTACATTACGTAATTACATAAATGGTTTCATTTCTAGGCGAAACGCATCGCAAAGACTCTCGATGCTACGAGGCGGGTTTGATTTGACGACATGATTTGTGAGTGGGTCTTTTCTTTGATATATATATATATTTTAGTTTCCATATATATATATATATATATATATATATATATATACACACACACATCTAATAATGAACTTTCTTTATGATTGCCGTAATTAAATTAACGTTTATAGGAAATGAGGTAACGTTGAGAATTAGGAAATCATTATGCATCCTACATGATGCCTTAGCTAAACTTATGGCTATGAATAATGTTATGTCGACTAGAATTATCGAATCATTGTGGCATGATTATATTTGTGTTATTTGTTCATCGTTGCTGCACCGGTGTTAGTACTCGCATGGGCCAAGGCTAGTCTTTCACGTGTATGTGCACATTGCACCGTACGCTCACTTTGGATCCATTGTAAGTGTCAGTCCTGTCCTAGATTGCTATAGGCAATTAGGATTCGCATGCGCTGCGCATAGTGCCAGTTTTCATGTGATTGTAGTACTATAGCATATATCACTGTTACACCCAGTCATGTTCATGTCAGAATATCTCTGCATGAACTCATGTATCAGCATATGTCAATGAGCACTCGATATGATATATTTATTTATACGAGAATATGTGATTACAGACGTCAGGTATTTATTTATGAAAGTTATGACGTATGGCATTCTTGAAATACAGCTGGCTATGGTAAGTATTTTTATACTATACGTGGTATGTATATTTTGGAAACTGTACTTATTTTAAGGCGAGGGATTATTATGTTTTTGAAATGGTTTTTACAAAGCTTTGTTTTTAGGCTCACTCACTCTTGTTTTTCACCCCTCCAGGCTTTAGTAGCCGAGCTTTCTTATTGACGAGGATTCGTGGCAAATCTTGGTATCGGAGATTACCTTCAATGGTATAATTCTCAATCCACTCTACTGTTATTTACTTATGCTCTGACATCACGTGTGAAATGGGTTCATTCCTGCTCACAAGCGCACTCTTATACTTAGGCACTTTTATGTTTAAATTTACTTACATTTTCCACATCACTGCACTTTATGGCTTTGTCACATTCCTGGTGTCGGCCAACACAGCTCGATTCGAAGTCCAGGTGGACATTCTGGGTCGGGGTGTGTCAGTACTGAAACCACTGTCTACTCTTTAAAAAAATAAGATAAAAAGATAATTCCAAATGTGTGGCTTAAATCAATAATTTCAACACATGTGGCTTAGAGCTTCCCCAATGAGGGGCTCTATATAGGGCTAGAAAAGTGTTGGATATAGCCCAATTTAGAGCTCCAAGGAATCTTTGGGGCTCTATAAAAGAATATCCGAGGGGTTATACATCTTTCAGGCTCTATATGGGGCTATATATTTTATTTATGTAGTAATTTGTTTACGCGGTAAATTTATCTTTGCCTTAACTTTTCTTAATTTGATTTTTGGCCATGTTATCTTAAATTTTAATTTATGAACTTTTTAACCTAAAAAAATTCAAATTTTGACAAAGTTAGATTTCATCACTTATGCAAGCTCTGTGACGTTACGTCCCTACTTTTCACTGTAATTTCTTTTTCATTTGTGTGTTTTGACGATTTTGCTCTTTTTGGGGAAAAAGTGGAATCTGACGTGGACGTTGTTTCGACTGTTGTTTCTTTTCCTAGTTTCGTATGTAATTAGTACTTGCCGTCACAAATGTGTGGACACGAGTTAGACCCGAATTGTATTTGTAACGAAAAAGTTACGCTCCGTTAAAGTACGTTAATTATGGGTATTCTTGTATACGTTTGTACAAAATATCAATCTCGGAAACACTGTTAAGGATACAGATTTTGTACATTTGAAATGGTACAAAATCTGAAAATCCATCCATCTAATCTCATTCCTCAAAAATGGGATCCGTGTCCATCGGATTTCATAGAAACAAACCACCAAATGAAATTGAGATAAGGGAGTTTGACACATCCCGACCCGGAATGTTCACTTGGACTCTGAATCGAGCTGTGATGGTCGACAACTAGAAGGTGACAAAGCCATCAAGTGTAGTGATGTGGAAAATGTGAATAAATTTAAACCTAAAAGTGCCTAACAAAAAAAGTGCGCGGGGGAGCGGGAGTTCAAATGCATAGGTTACAAGTCAAGTTTGGGTGGTTTGCAAATCGGTTGAGAGAATTGCAAAGAGAAGGTGAGAGAGAGACCTTCGAGGAGAGAGAGAATGAGGTTTGAGTTGTGATTGGCGGGACAGAAATGAGAGTGTTTCTGATTGGTTGAGCGAGAGAGGGAAAACAATTGATTGGGTGGTGAGGAGGGATTCAGGGAAAAGCAAAAGTTCGATTGGTGGATGAGATGGGGATAAGATTTTATTTCATAACAGCCATTGGATTTGATTATCTTATCTCAATCTCATCCGTTGGTTTATTTCTCTGATTAACACATTCTTTGAAATCAAACAAGATTTTCATTTCATAACAACCCTTGGATTGGATTATCTTTTCACAATTTAGTTATTTTATTTGTTTATATATTCGGTTTAGGTCTCTAAACTACTAATGTTAAATTTCATCACTTTATTATGAATTTTTCAATCTAAAAAAATTAAACATAAAGCATTACGTTTTTTTTTTAATCAATCATACAAAAAAGTTGTTGTTTGTATATGTTTTCTTAATCAAACAAATGGTTGAAAATAAATCCTTAAAATCCTAAACGGTTGAAAAATAAACCTTTAAAATCATGTTTTCTTAGCCTTCATGCCGGCTATGTATTCTTCATTCTTCAATAATCCCAAGAATATAACAGTTACAAGACTGACATATCAATTAGTAGCCCCAATCGTACTCGCCCACGTGTCACAACCACCACTCATATCTTGCAGGATGAATAATATCTGTAGGGGTGCGTCTAATTGAATAGGATCTGATATGAATACTACTTGTAAGGATATCGAAAATCAATTCACTATTTTCATTCGATTGGTCTGAAATTATTTTATATTTTTTATATAAATTAAACACAGAACACAAAAAAAAAAAAAAGTAATCGAACAATATACGTACGATGAACAGACTCGAATTATTTCTCTTTTTTTATCATTCTGACCATCGACTGCCACACGTGTCATGTCGTACAGAAAATGATAGAAAAATTTGTTCTCTGTCATCCCATCCCTCGAAGAAAACGACATCTCCAATTCCTCTAGGACCAATTCCAAATTCGCACAATGCCACAGAATCATTACCAAATGAAAACGACATACACTCCCAAAACGACATCCGTCACGATTCTCTCCGGGAAGCACTCCTCCAAAATCCGGCACCGTGAAATCGGTCCCACATCTCCTTCTCCAACAAATCAGCGCCCTCCGTTTCGGCGTTGCTCTTCTTCTCTCCGTCACCTTCTGTACAGCCGCTCGCTCTCTTCCCGTCGTCGTCGTCGTCGTCGCCACCGCCGCCGAGCCGTCCCTTCTTCTGAACCGCGCACCGTCGCTTCCTTTTCCTGTGGGCCCAGGCCTTCATGCACAGCCCCTTCGGGACCTTGTACACCGCCAATATAAGCAAATTCATTACACTGCACGGGCAGCAGCAACACACCGCCGCGCACTCGGCTGCCGCGCCGCCGGCCACTTCTCCGACTCGCCGCTTCTCTCGGGGCGGCGGCCGAGTCAACTTTGGCGATTGAAAGAGGGGGTCCCGAGTCATCGCGGAGTCAAAATCACGAGTCAAAACAGGGAAGGGAATTTGCTGGAATTAGGGATCAATGAAGAATTGGATTCTGGGGTGGCGGAGATTGAGATCTTTGTGGATTCATGGGGCTTCATGGGGAAGATCTTTCCCACAAAGCCACAGAATCCCAAACCCAAAACGTGAGAGAGAGAGAGAGAGAAAGAGAAATGGAGGGGATTGGGGAGCGAAAGTTTCGGGAGAAAAACGGAAGTATATATGATTTGGTTTGGGTTGGACGATAAGAAGAAGAAAACTGAAGGGCGTGAAATTCGTGGCAGCCACCGGAACCGCTCCACGCGGACACGATGAGTCAGAGAGAGAGATCGAGACGAAAGAGATGTGACAGATTTTTCTGAGGTTGCTTTTCATTTATCTTTAAAAAAAAAAAAAAAAAAAAAACTAACGAATTTTTTTTAAAAATTTTAGTTTTAATAAAAAATAAATAAATAAAGATGTAGGGAATAGTATCAGAAAAAAGGTAAAAATATGATTTTTCTTTAAAAGTGAACCGTCAGAAGTGTTTCGTTAAAACTCTATTTTTTAATTACTTTTTGACAATACGTAAAATTGGAGAAAATTTTGTGTGAAACTTAATTTGTTATTGAATAATGCTGAGCAGTACAACTATCCACTCAAAACTTGTCACGTGACGAGTTATAAGATCATCTCCAACCGAAGGGTCCAAAGGCCAGAGGTCGAAAAATAGCCTAAAAACTGTCTCCAACTGAGGACTAGGCCAGAGTGCTCGTGAGCCCCACGAAATTTGAAAGGGCCAAGGGCCAAAGGACTAGGCTGGCTGGATTTTTTTTTTTTAAACTGTCGATTTTTCTTATAACCGACAGAAATAAAAGAAATAGTGCCGACTAATGTCCTGTTATGTTTGAATTTTTTTTTTACAGTTTTATTTTTTTTTATTTACAATTTTTTTTTCCTATAACTTCTATTTTTTTCAATAATTTCCTATAACTTCTATTTTACAAAATTTGTTTCATATTTTTTTTAAATTTTATTTTATTTTCCTATAACTTCTATTTTACAAAATTTGTTTCATATTTTTTTTTAAATTCTATTTTTTTCATATAACTTCTATTTTACAAAATTTGTTTCCTATTTTTTTTTTTAATTCTATTTTTTTCCTATAACTTCTATTTTACAAAATTTGTTTCATATTTTTTTTAAATTCCATTTTTTCCTATAACTTTCTAAGCCATTATACAATATTAAATTAAATTAAGTAACATGATGTCAGCTACCAACGACTAGCTGATGTCATGCTGACGTCACTTAGCCGTTAGATTTGAATTTAAGTTATAGTTTTTAAATAATAAATTATGTTTGGCTCTTTGGCCCTCGGTTGGAGACGGTTTTTTTGTGATATGGCTAAAACGAGCCTTATGGATCTTTGGCCTTTGGTTGGAGATGGAGACAAATATGGTCATGTACTGTTCATTAAAATATTAATATCCTAGAGGGCCAGAGGGCTAAAACGAACCATCTGACCAGCTCTCGGTTGAAGATGACCTAAGTATTTTTCACCTTTCTTTCATATTCAAATTTATCATAATTAATTTTCATCCTATTTAATATATCATCAGATTAATCTAAAAGCTCTCTTTTTTCTTTTCTTTTTTTCCTCTCTCTCCTTTTTCTTCTCAAATTTACCCTGCCGTATGAAAGTGGACATCTCAACTTTAGCTTTTCAAAGCATGCTTCAAGAAAATCTCGGGAAGCAGGTATTTGTGAGAGGAAGTAAGTGTAAACAAAATTAGGGGAATGATATAACAAATAGATTGCGAAATTCAACTCCATAATCTGGAGTGAGTATGTACGTTTATATTTATATATTTTTTTGGTCAGAAGGTAGAGAAATTTTATAAAATAAAATTCAAATGGACAAATTATATAAGGATCAGCATATAGAAAGAAGATACCACTTATGCAAACAAAGCATGAGTAAAGGTTATTCTCTATAGTAAATTACAAATAGTACATAAAGGTAATAAACATGAAACGGTTTCAACCTAAAAACAGATTCTCCACGAGGACTGAAACAGAAAGGGCTCAAATAGTACAATAGATTTAAGAGTTTACAATTAAAATTTTAATATTTGTAGAATAAAGATTAACGCACAAACTACTAATCATAAATATACTAGGATTACAACTTCTTATTGAGAGAGGATCCTCACTAGATCTTCTTTCTGAGGATCTTGGGGATCCTTCAATCACATCCGTTCATCGTGCATCGTGCAACTAGTTTTTGTCAAGTACTGTTTATATTCAATTTTAAATAAAAAAATTTACAATGATTTCTGACTGCACAATGTACCTGACATGCCCTGATTTTGACATTCCCCGAACACCAGGATAGGCACGTATTGGCCGACACCCGAGGGTGACGAAAGTCATTTATTGAATGCAAATACTGAGAATAAGGAATAAATAAGACTTGTAAATATAAAAGAATAAAGAATATGCATTTAAGGAATGTGTTCAGAGCACACATCTGATCTAGAACACTAAAAGAATTAATATAAAAATTGAATGAATAAAAGTGGGTCTTACATCGAGAGGACTAAAGATGCCAATGCGTAAGTGGCCGGATGTCGGGATTGTATGCCTCGATTCTAAGTCCTGAAGGGGGCGTAAAACAAATATGAGTGGACCAAGTTAACATATATATAATAAAACAGTTATCAACATATTAACCCCCAGGTTTTATGAAAACACATATATCATGATAAACATAGGTTTTCCGAAACCTAGCATGTCGTGTAATGTCTCAAAACATATCTTGTATATATAATAATCACTAGTGAATGTTCGATAACCCTCCAGACCCCATGCCAGCTCCCCGTCTCTGTGCCAGTTGCTAGAGGAAAATCATCCCCAGGCCCCATGCTAGCTCTCTGTCCCTGTGCTAATTGCTATAGGAAAAATACTTTAGGTCATATGTCAACACCATAACTGACACAACCCGACCGAGATCAGGGCATACTGACCGTCACATGGAAGTGACGCAACCATGTGCACAGTGTGGAAGCTAATAAAATAATAATAAAAGTACAAATAAATAAAAACCAGCTATACACAAAGTAAGAACATACAAGTGCAAGCGTCAGTGTGAAAAACAAAGTTCAGAGCACGGAAGACCTAGTGCAGTCCAGGAGAAACAACACTAAATAAACACACCCAAAGGTGGTCCTACACTGGTGATAATCTGTCTGATATGCCGGGAAAATCCTCTGGGGAGCCACCACAAGTGATAGCCAACTAGAACCTGAAGGGGCGCAAAACAGAAAGCGTGAGTGAGCAAAAACAAAGCTTTTCAAAAACCATTTCATAAAAAAAAGTTCTAACCCCTCGCCGTAAAACCTGTATACTTCCCAGAAAATAGAATATATACATATATATAAATCATGCTCGGAAATATGCCATGCCAAATGCCTCGATGTAAAATGCAAGTACTCAGGTAATGACAAACAATGCCATATAATCTGTCAGCCGGAGTCACCTAACGTGACCTGTACGGCTGAATATAGAGCTTAAATCTCCATCTCACTAACTATACCTACACACGAGTCGGAACCACCTAACATGGTCTGTACGACAGGACTGGGTGTAATATAAGTACGCTCAAGTGTGATGCGAACTAAGTAAGCACACAAATTAAAACCCTCTTGTGACAATTGTAGTATATGAATAAGTAGGGATCGTTCTTAACCGGGGATTAGGAGGGATTGCAAAATCGCTTGGAAACTGACTCAAAAACGTAAAATAAAGTTTGAAACACTAAACTAGTCTCAAAGAATGCAAAACTAAACAATAAAAACACTAAAACAAATCAAAAGACTCAAAATAGCCCCAAAACACTCAAAATTGCCTTAAAAACACTTTCTGGGCAGTTTTGAGCACTTTGACAACTTTGGACAAAATTGGGTAATAGAATGAATCAAAATGCTTAAAAACACAAACTAAGACACTTTCTAACTAAACTGGACACTAAAGTAAAGGGGGATTGAGGTTTTGACGAAAATAAATTAAATGCACAGATTGTAAATTTAAGGCAGATTCTAAATATAAATTTGATGAAAATATGGATGATGGAATAGCTAAGGGGTTTTTTCTCCACACATGTCACACTTGCATACACTTTGATTTTCAGTTGGTCTTTCAATGAATTATGAAACTCAACACTCCGGGTTAATTAGGTCCGCTTAAATTAACCGTCAAGTTCTCCTTAAGTTAATGAATTGGATGGGTTAGCGCAACGCAATTCAAAACATTCTCCAAAAGTCCTTTACGTGAAAAGCACAATAAAGATACAATCAAAGATCATTAAGCATCATGAAAACTATAAGTGTTGACGAGGCATTCGTCACTATGATGAGCATGAAACTAGTGCCAAGAATTCATTTAACGCGATTGTTTATAAGCAACCTCCACTACTTGTGAATATAAGTTCATAACTATTAGGTGAAACTCACTTATATTCTAGCGTCAAATTCATGCATGAACATTAAGCGTGCACTCTCAATAAACATACACAAACAAGTTATCAATCAAACAGTTAAACGAATTGAATCCAACATTCATGAAATTCCAACCAAATGTAATCAATTCATATTGCAAGCAATAACATGGTTTCGAATCACCCCCTAGCTAATTAGGGTTTTAGCCTCTCATGTTCACAGAAAGAGAAATACAATTGAATTTAAACATAAAGCACAAAGGATTGATTACACCTAGAACGCCCTACGAATCCATATGAATTGGTGCGCGTCGAAGCTCCTCTTTCCTCTTCTCCTTGCTGCGGCAGATTGAGTTTTGGATGATTTTGGGTGAATTTCTTGGTTATAGATGGGTTTAGGGTTGTTTGGTGGTGCGGCAAGGTGGTGGAGTGATGGAGGAAGGTTGGTAGGGTGGCTGGTATGGTGGGGATGGCTGCGGACAGGTTGGGAAGTATGTGGAAGATG